CATGCATATGTGACACGCGGCGCAACTGAATGACAAATTAGAAAAAATCCAGAAATCCATTGTAAGGGAAGTATTTGCAATGTGAGTTGGAAATAAGTAGGTCAGCCTACAAACAAGCAATAAGTAACTGGTTCACGACCCATTCTCGTCTAACAGTCTTCTTGACCCTGCCAACTCGCTGTTTCCACCTGTTTGAATGTGAGTTACCAGATATAAAAGCTGACACACTTGTTGGCTGCTTACCTCAAACTCACTCCAACTTGGTTAGGTAGACCAAAGAGCTGTATTGAAGGAGATGCAACCCAACAAAGGTCATCTGATGCAGCACTCCATCCCTCTCCTGGTCAATAGCCCTTACAACAGCCTGAGTGTGTTGTGGGTCATTGTCCTGTTGAAAACAAATGATAGTCCCCACTAAGTGCCAACCAGATGGGATGGCGTGTCGCTGCAGAATGCTGTGGTAGCCATGCTGGTTAAGTATGCCTTAAATTCTAAATAAATCACAGACAGTGTCACCAGCAAAGCACCCCCACACCATCACACCTCCTCTTCCATGCTTCACGGTGGGAAACACACATGCAGAGATCATCCATTCACCTACTCTGCGTCTCACAAAGACACGGCGGTTGGAATCAAAAATCTCAAATTTGGACTCATCAGACCAAAGGACAGATTTCCACAGGTCTACTGTCCATTGCTCGTGTTTCTTGGCCCAAGCAAGTCTCTTCTTATTATTGGTGTCCTTTAGTAGTGTTTTTTTTGCAGCAATTCGACCATGAAGGCCTGATTCACGCAATCTCCTCTGAACAGTTGATGTTGAGATGTGTCTGTGACTTGAACTCTGTGAAGCATTTATTTGGGCTGCAATCTGAGGTGCAGTTAACTCTAATGAATTTACCCTCTGCAGCAGAGGTAACTCTGGGTCTTCCTTTCCTGTGGCGGTCCTCATGAGAGCCAGTTTCATCATAGCGCTTGATGGTTTTTGCGACTGCACTTGAAGAAACTTTCAAAGTTCTTGAAATGTTCTGTATTGACTGACCTTCATGTCTTAAAGTAATGATAGACTGTTGTTTATCTTTGCTTATATGGGCTGTTCTTGCCATAATATGGACTTGGTCACTTTTTAGTTACTACATGATTCCATGTGTTATTTCATGGTTTTGATGTCTTCACTATTACTCTACAATGTAGAAAATAGTAAAAATAAAGAAAAACCCTGGAATGAGTAGGTGTGTCCAAACTTTTGACTAGTACTGTATATACAATTTTTTGTCATCATGTTCTTATTTTTACTCAACAAGAATATGCTTGTTGCTGGTGAAATGTATGATTGGGAAATGACCACGGTTTCCCCAGCAACATGTACCGCTAGTCTATTGTCAAGGCAGCCAGGGTGTGTCCAAGGCTGTGGACATGCTGGCCTTTGGTGGCAACATTTTGTGACTGACAACCTGAACATGAAACATACTTATGGCTGCAGAGTAGAAGGGTTTAAGCATTACTGTAACTATCTATCTACTGGTAACAAAGCTGTCCATGTTGACTGATATAGTACGACCATGAGAGTAAGCAGACACACTTGGGATGGAAGGGAGATTGTGTTTAAATGTTTGTTATATCTGTACAAATCTCTTGTCAAACTAGATTTGTTCAAGGCACAATGTCATCATAACTATCTTAGACAGGTGTTTATTCAGTTAAGTCAGAAATGGAGACTTTACATCAATGATTCCGTCTCACTCTCCAACTATTGCATGTTTCATCCAAACAGAACAAAGGAGTGTTAACTCATATATTATACACACATTACAATGTGTAAATACACAGAACTCCTGTAGCTCAGTTGGTAGAGGATGGCGCTTGCAACGCCAGGTTTGTGGGTTCGTTTCCCACGGGGGGCCAGTATGAAAAATGTATGCACTCACTTACTGTACGTCGCTCTGGATAAGAGCGTCTGCTAAATGACTAAAATGTAAAAAATGAAAAGGTCAATCATTTTGTTCTTTCTCACATAGGCCTATGGAAATGGATGCTATGGTAATTATATAAAAATACAGAGTACAAATAAGTCGTATTCTTTTCTAATCTTTTGTATCTTATATCTGATTGATGATTCATCGACATGGGGTTTGTTTCAAACTATCTGTGTGCTGAGAGTTTGCTGAAGGCATTTTGATCTATTACAGATGTAGGATCTTAATTTGAGCCAGATTTCTACAGCAGAAAAATTATCCTGCAGAAACAGGAAATGTGAAATATTATGTGGATTATGATTAATTGAACTTTTTTGTAGGGGTTGATACATTTTTCATTAGGGCAAATCAAGTATGACATTTTAAAGTGGAAATTACAAACTTTAGAAGCCTTCAGCAATAAAAGAGTGATCAAATGTAAGATCCTGCATCTGTATAGTCAACTGTGCTCCTAGCTTTCAATTCCTCTCTCCGGTAAAACAGTCTGTTCCTAGATGTCTGCCAATGAAAACAAAAAGTGAAAAGTGTTGTTATCACTGATCCAACCGATTAGTAAGTTGTTTAATGAGTAAAGCTCCCTTTGGCTGTTTTCTGGCTATGACAGATTCCAAGATTCTCTGCTAGGGTTTAGACAGATTGATTAGTGAGTGGGTGGTGTTGTAGGTGGACAGTTTCCTTTAATATGAGGAGCACTTCTATCTTGTTTATACAATATAGTTCCTGCATGTAAAGTCTTTCACATTTTAACACAGTTGGGCATGTATGCACATTTTACAAAACAAAGGAAGATCCAGTGAATTGGAATGTTTTGGAGTCTGTTTCGTGTGCTCTCAGACTTCACTGTAAAGTTATTCACCATTCAGATGCAATACATGTTTACGTTGCACATCAAATAAACTATTGAACTCATTTGAAATGAAAGTCATCTGGAATAAATACAACATTTAAACTAGCGTCTTAAGCAAATTGTTCTTCTTACTTTTGATCTCTTATGTTTTGAGAAAAATAGATATATTGCGTGAGAAGACATCCAGAAAACATTAAGAAACAATGGTAATTAAAATAGCGAAATGATGACATTTATTGAGAAAACAACTTCTAAGCCAATTCAAACAGACACAAAAGTGCATATCACAGGTCTTACAGTGTGATTGACAGTCTTCTTTTTTTTTTGCTGTACAGATGTTGTTTATTGAGCTGAACAAGGTTGTTAGGATATTATTTTCCAATTGTATAATTGTAGCGCTTTGGATGGGTCCATTCATGCAATTCAACTAAAAGCAATGTGTGATGTGCACTCATTACAGGCAATTTGACTTTCACTGTCCATCCCAGACTCTGATTCGGGTCCAGTAACATCCAAGTCTTGTTGTTTTTGGAGTCCTGACATTAATTACATTGTGCTCAGCCAGTCCCATGCTTGCAGTACCTGGCAGGAAGCTGTGGTTAAGGAAGTTGTTTTCGGGAAACCCTAACACACTTTATACATAGAAACGGGTCCAAATAGACCACAGAGCACAGCAGTGGGCACAGTGCCACACCATCTCTCACTAATAACAAGTGTTTCAGCTCAGGGCCCTTATGGCTTTCATGGACACAGTGATTGGGATTCTTTACCGTCTCTGAAATAAATATTTCTCTAACTTTTGGAATGTGAGATTTCCCCAGTTTTGCTTTCTTAAAAGTTGTTCTTATGACTCATGTAATACATGATGCTCTTAGCTTCTTTTCAATCCATGTCAAAATTTGGGAGAGAAGCTTCTCAAGGAATGGTCAACTCAAACTCTCTGTTTGTGTTGTTTGACATAGCCAAAGCTACTGCAACATACAGCAGTATAAACAATGAAAACCACCTTCAGAGACATTTTCCTCAAATCAGTACAATTCCTGAGTCTTTAAATGATAATTACTCCCAGACCACCTCCTGCTCCAGACCTTTCACAAAGGGTTTGGCTTTTCAGATGTTTCACTCTTAACATGTTCCAGATTTTAAATCACTTATTAAAGAGAAACATTTTAAAATGGAAATTAAAAAATTTTGTGCATTCATAAAATGTCCTTTGAAAAAATCAGTTTATGTCTCGAGACGTTATCTTGATACATCTACAAGGGATAGAGATACTGTATGTCCTCTCAAAACGAAGCCCTCTAATTTCATGGACAGACTATTTTAAAATCATATTTGTCGAGTTTATTCAATTCAGGTCAATAGAATGCTGATTATTTTCATATCAGTTGGGTTCAGCTTGTGTTAGCCACAAACCCCCTCAAGCTAACTCCAATCATTTGCTCCACATGCTTCTACAGTATTATATGACTCATGGGTTATCTGTAATTCTGCAATCTAGACTAGGGGAAAGATGAGATGGAAAGCTGTAAATACATAGCTTTGAGAACTGATCAGAAGTGGCATACATCTTGTGCCAGGGATGAAGTGTTTTGACCTGTATTGTCCTGCATCTGCATCCCCTATTCTTGTTTGACTCTCTCTAACTGTATGTTCTCTCTCTTTCACATGGATGGAATCACATCAGAATCACATGGAAACAAACGAAAAGAAAGGAAAAAAGGTACAGTAAAAAACAAATATTTTTATGTTATATTGTTTTTGTGCCTTCTATCGATTCCCTGGGTCATTTCATGCTAGCTACCTAGCTAGCTAGCTATCCAGCCAGCCCATAGAGAAAGCATTGCATTGTGGATTTTGTAGTAGACTTGAGCTGCAACAGATTTCCATAATGATTTTTCATGTTGCTACCAACCTTATTATAAAATGAAACATTTTTTCACAAAAATTAAAGGAATGAGTGGTTTTGGGTGGATTTTTCCTTTAAGTGAACGCTTCCATTGCTACAGGTGATGGTGCAGTGCTGAGGAGGTTGTTTATATTTTCATTCATGTCATAGTACCCACTAATTCAGATTTTCTCCTTGTCTTACTTTTTAGGCAAGAAAGGCCCTCCGGGTGCACCTGGCCCCCTAGGCCCTCCAGGGCCACAGGGTCCACCTGGTATTCCTGGCATTCCAGGTATCCCTGGGAACAACGCCATGGGCCCCTCAGGACCACCCGGACCTCCAGGCCCTGCTGGACCGCCAGGGCCACAGGGACCCCCTGGTCTTCAAGGACCCTCAGGTACCTCCTCACTTTAATTCCCTTTGGGCCAAATCCTGATTTATTTGTGGTGTTCAACCTTTCATCAAAAAAACTGACACATTAATTGTTTTCTAATCTGCACAGGGGGCAGAGTCAGAGATAGCCAGGTGTGTTACTCTTTCAATGTTTTGATGATTTAAAAAAAGATTATGTCCACTTTTCCACAAATTAATTATTTATTGTTGTGTTACAGCCTGCTGTGGTACATCTCCAAGGCCAAGAAACAACAATACAGGTCAAGGAAGGTAAGAGTTAAATTTTAGATACTCTCGTCCTCACATCACTTAATGACTAAAAGAAAGGCACATTTACAGTCAGAAATCATTTTCAAGAAGTCTCTTATTTGTTATTAGTTCCTCTAAGAATAGATCGGAAAAAGTTAAGACATTAATTCACTGCAGGAGACATACACATACACATTGTATTTAAATTTTTTGACAATGCAACAATGAAGAACTCTGTCTATAATTGTATGACAATGACGGATGTTGAGTGACTGCCCTTTTCTCACGCTGAGATCTTTCAGAAGGCGTACTGAGAAACTGGAAAATGATATCCATGCATCACAAGGTGTTCAAGATGCACTCGAGGTCTGGGGAGCTGGAGGTGTTGGTAGATGGCACCTACTTCATCTATAGTCAGGTAGAAGTGAGTACGGTCTTAGGCCTAACTCTTCCTATCGCCTGCATGTCACTCATCCTTTCACTCTGCAGTCCCAGTGGATTATGCTATCTCAAAGGTTAGTAAGGTCAAAATATCTAAATTGGCTGTGGTAAGGCCGACCATTCTAGGCATAATCTATAATGAATCCTTAGCTTTGAGTCTAAACTTTATTACTGACAGAAATCCAAATTAGACCCCCATGAAATTACTTGTATTAAATAGCAATTATCTGGCATACTGAAGGCTACATTTCTCAGAACACACATGGTTGATTTTGCCAGTGCTCTTGGCTGCAGAGGGAAATGTCTGGATGAGTGAAGTGAATGTATTGCATGCCCTTCAAAGTGAGCCACATTGTACAAAGTGGATCATATGCTGTGGTAATTATAACCCAGTTTGCCTGATATATCTCATGATTGGAAATAAGTTAAGTTAAATAAGTAGTCTAGTAGTTCATTATCTGCATTCTCATATTTGTGTTATTTCCTCAGAATTTAAAATAATATTTATGGTTTGTCCCCACATAACTTTTCCTACCAGGTTTACTACCTCAACTTCACTGACATTGCTAGCTATGAGGTGATGGTGGACAAGACACCGTTCCTGCGCTGTACGCGGAGCATCGAGACGGGACAGCGGAAGTTCAACACCTGCTACACGGCTGGGGTGTGTCTGCTGCGTGCCCGGCAGAAGATCTCCATCAGGATGGTGTACGAGGACACCTCCATCAGCATGACCAACCACACCACCTTCCTGGGGAGCATCCGCCTCGGGGAGGCCCCCCCGGCCAGCCACTCCTGAAGAGGCAGGCCTACCAACCTGTCTGTCAAGCCACGACCCACCCCTCTTCCAGCATATCCACCTATAGCCTGGGGGAGGCTCCACCCACTCTACTCTTCCTCTACAACCATCACCACCACCTATCACATATCGAACAATAAGGAAATGAGGAGACCCACCTACTCCAGAGATGACATCATGTACAGTACTAAAGTATCCGCCCTCAGCCTGGGCCAGGCCCGCCCCTTCAGGCTACTACTGAGCTGATAAGCCCCACCCTCCCTTATAATAGAGGGGTGACCTGGTCTAATGATATTAACCACTGCCTGTTATCTCTGAATGGAAGATTCCTTCCACAGAGCGATGATGACTATGACCTTCGGAGATAATGATGGACAAATATGCACCCAACGTGTCTTAGCATTAAGAAAGTGAGGAGTTGCTGATGTTTGAAGAAAAAAATACATTAGACTTTACTTTTAGAATAGTGCATTTGTAGATAATAACTTGGTTTCCCTGGTCATAACATGCTTGAGAAACCAAGATTGACAGGAGTCAGTCATGTCTCCACTCAAAGAACTGTCTGTTAGTTAGACAACATAGGTACATACTGTAAAAGCTTTTGAAAACAATATAGAAATACAATGTGTCGCAGTTCTCTGATGAAATGAACATGTATAGCTGAAACACAAACATTTATCTGTTAGAATGTGCACTGGTTAAAGCAAATTATTGATCTGTAGGCAAATCTCTCTCTCTTTCTCTCTCTCTCTTGAATAATAAGGTCAGTATGAATGTTTCTGTTTTATCTGAAATGAAGTTGTTTGTTAAATATGGAATCACCTGGAATAATCCTGTTGATTAAATGTTTTATTTTTCCAAATTACTAATAACATGACCGTTCATGATCACAAGACTTTTCTGGATGGGGTTATAGTTATTTTCTTTATTTAGTTCTGCTTTGGTTTGTTTGAAATAACTAATTCCCTTTGAGCTGAACCAGTCATGTCCTGTTTCTGGAAGGCCATTTGTGTTTCAGTTTTTCTCCGAAGAATTCTGTCTTTCCGTATACATAGGCAGCTTGAAGCTTTTGTAAATATCACACACAGTCAAAATATTTTTCAGCATATAACTCCTTTCTCATGTTCATGTTTATATGTGAGTGAACACATTAGTCTTTAAGGAATAATTTAAGGGCACAGAGTATCTGTCAACATGCAGTTTCTGGATGTTTATGAAACTGCTCTGCACTGTGCATGTATTGTTATTATTACAGGGTTTGGTCAATCACCATGCTGTCAACCTTCTGGAAAATTGGTGACAAAAGCAGAATCAAGTCCAGTTGTTTTGAATAAGTTTGAAAACAGTTATGGAAGGAACAATAGATAAAGAGTTTCATTCCAAAACACTATATATCAATTTTCAGAAATGTTGGTAAATTAGCTTTTATTGTTTAGATAACTTATGAAAGAGATAATTGTGTTTTTTTTCACCATCTTATCATGGCATGGGGTTGGTCAATGACAGACATGTTATTTGTTTAAAATCTATCACTTGATGGTTTCATTTCAGAGAGAAAAATAATCATGTTTTGTTGCAAAACGCTATATATCTGCCTCAATCTCAGAGAAATAAGTAGTACTGCTAGGTTTTATACAGTCAATTGTGACAAATAACTACATTTATAATAAAGAACTGTACAAATTATATTTGTGACATCCATATTTAAATGTAAAATATGTTTTTTTAAATGAACCAATACAGGAATAGAGAGCAATAGTAATGGCGTCTTTTTGTAGGCACTAACTCCGCCATGGTTCATTGGACAAAGCCTATGGGGAAATGTAGGGTTTTTGGATAAATGCCAAAAATAAGGTCTGTAGTAAACACAGGCTTAGGAGATCTTATACGTTTTGTTCTATGGGATCATCTTCATCAGATAATGTCACTTTTCGTAAATTTTGAAGCATTTATGTAATTTAAAAAAGCACATAAAGGCCTCATAATTCATGAAGGTCATGTTAACTGACTGATATTATCTCATAGAACAAAATGTATATGATCTCCTAAGCTTGTGTTAACCTCAGACCTTCTTTTCTGTGTTTATCCCAAAACACTATTCTTTCCCCATTAATTTCCCCCAGAGGTATGGCTGACTGAACCAGAGGTAACTAATTTCCAGTTTTTAGGACTACAAGCTGGCAAGCTCTATATGAGATCTGTATGTAAAATATTTATATTTTACATTTTAGTCATTTAGCGGATGCTTTTATCCAGAGCAATTCACAGTTAGTGCATTCATCTTAAGATAGCTAGGTGAGACAACCACATATCACAGTCAAATGTACAGGATACGAACATTCCATTTCAGCTAAACAATGTATATATAGCTTTTTGCAACAAACCCCATTTTAATACATATCTAAAATCGATTAATACAAAACCTGAGAACAGATATATTTTACACACACATGAAGGTACCCATAAGCAATCACTTCTGACGTAAAAATACCGATGTGAAAAATTGGTGGAAATAGCGTTTTGGAACGAAACTCTTCATATATAAAACAATTTACCAAAGGAAGTTCAAACATATTACTTTTCAGTTATTATGGTAATTCTACATCGTCCAGTAGCCTAATGTCTGCAATAAGAGTTGGTATCAAACATTACAACTTGCTGTTTAGAAACATGCCCAAAAAGGACAGTGAGCAATGGTGTTGTAGTATTACGTATTATTAGTAGTTTGGTTCAATTCCGTGCTTAGAATGGTTAATTCTCCTATTCATGCTTTGCGATTAAATGTAATGCCTGTGTCAAGTTGAATCAAGATAGAATTGTCCCGAACTCTGGTAGCTATATGTCCTTTAATTCAAACATTGTTTAGTTGAAGTGTACATTGTGGTTTGTGTTGAGATCTGCATTATTTGGATTGTTTGTAGGTAAATAGGGTATATTTGTTTCCCTGCTTTGTTGAAAATAATGTACATTTGTATACGCTGTTGCGATTGTAAATATGTATATAAAATAGAATTCTGTTTTTGTAAATTGAATTGATTTATAATATTAAATTCTATAAAATTCTCACTTGTCATATGATATAATATTTTTTAACAATGCCTATGGCAGCCAAAAGTTCCAATAAAACCAGATTATTCTACAGTATTGACATACTGAGGTATATATTGCCTCTTTTGAAAATACAGTGCAATCGGAAAGTATTCAGACCCCTTGACTTTTTCCACAATTTGTTACGTTACAGCCTTATTCTAAAATTGATTAAATTGTTTTTTTCCCCTCATCAAACTACACACAATACCCCATAATGACAAAGCAAAAACAGGTTTATTGAAATGTTTGCAAATGTAAAAAAAAAAAAAAAAAAAGGAAATTATCACATTTACATAAGTATTCAGACCCTTTACTCAGTACTTTGTTGAAGCACCTTTGGCAGAGATTACAGCCTCGAGTCTTCTTGGGTATGACGCTACAAGCTTGGCACACCTGTATTTGGGGAGTTTCTCCCATTCTTCTCTGCAGATCCTCTCAAGCTCTGTCAGGTTGGATGGGGAGCGTCGCTGCACAGCTATTTTCAGGTCTCCAGAGATGTTCGATCGGGTTCAAGTCTGGGCTCTGGCTGGGCCACTCAAGGACATTCAGCCACTCCTGCGTTGTCTTGGCTGTGTGCTTAGTGTCGTTGTCCTGTTGGAAGGTGAACCTTCGCCCCAGTCTGAGGTCCTTAGCACTCTGAAGCAGGTTTTTATCAAGGATCTCTCTGTATTTTGTTCCGTTCATCTTTCCCTCAATCCTGACTAGTCTCCCAGTCCCTGCCGCTGAAAAACATCCCCACAGCATGAAGCTGCCACCACCATGCTTCACCGTAGGGATGGTGCCAGGTTTCCTCCAGACATGACACTTTGCATTCAGGCCAAAGAGTTCAATCTTGGTTTCATCAGACAAGAGAATCTTGTTTCTCATGGTCTGAGAGTCCTTTAGGTGCCTTTTTTCAAACTCCAAGCGGGCTGTCATGTGCCTTTTGCTGATGAGTAGCTTCCGTCTGGCCACTCTACCATAAAGGCCTGATTGGTAGAGTGCTGCCGTGATGGTTGTCCTTCTGGAAGGTTCTCCCATCTCCACAGAGGAACTCTGGAGCTCTGTCAGAGTGACCATCGGGTTCTTGGTCACCTCCCTGACAAAGGCCCTTCTCCCCCAAATGCTCAGTTTGGCCGGGAGGCCAGCTCTAGGAAGAGTCTTGGTGGTTCCAAACTTCTTCCATTTAAGAATGATGGAGGCCACTGTGTTCTTAGAGACCTTCAATATTTGACCTAGATAGTTTGTGTGTATGTATTGATATGTAGGCTACGTGTGCCTTTAAAAAAAAAGTATGTAGTTCTGTCCTTGAGCTGTTCTTGTCTATTAATGTTCTGTATTATGTAATGTTTCATGTTTTGTGTGGACCCCAGGAAGAGTAGCTGCTGCTTTTGCAACAGCTAATGGGGATCCTAATAAAATACCAAAATACCAAATGCTGCAGAAATTATTTGGTACCCTTCCCCAGATCTGTGCCTCGACACAATCCTGACCCTAACCCTAACCCTATGAACAATTCCTTCGACCTCATGGCCTGGTTTTTGCTCTGACATGCACTGTCAACTGTGGGACCTTATATAGACAGGTGTGTGCCTTTCCAGAGAGAACAGTCTATGACTTGGGTGACTGGAGTCTATGACAATTTTTTGGGCCTTCCTCTGACACCGCCTAGTATATAGGTCCTGGATGGCAGGAAGCTTGGCCCCAGTGATGTACTGGGCCGTACGCACTACCCTCTGTAGCGCCTTACGGTCGGATGCCGAACAGTTGCCATACCATACGGTGATGCATCCGGTCAGGATGCTCTCGATGGTGCAGCTGTATAACTTTTTGATGATCAGGAGACCCATGCCAAATCTGAGGGGGGAAATACGTTGTCATGCCCTCTTCACGACTGTCTTGGTGTGTTTGGACCATGATAGTTTGTTGGT